ATCTGTAGTTTTCGTAGCAATTGCTGTTTTATCAAGTTGTTAGGGAGTCAGAGCATTGTAGCTTCATATTGTTAATAGAAACTTCAAATGAACAATTACATTCCTATGTAGCTTTCGCTTTTTTTCGGAAAATATTATTTTGGTTGGTGCCCTCGGCTGTGTTTCCCAAGCGGGCTCAATAGAGCTGATCGCGGACAGGTCAGTGAACCCTCTTCCCTTTTTCGCGTATCTGCCCAACTTCCCGCTCTATGATCATAGTGCAGACAGCAACCCCGCAACTTGAAAAGAGCTCGTTTCTCAATTTTCTCAAATCAATTTAAAGTAATCTCAATTTTTTTTAAATTCAGTGGGCTTCACGAAGATGACAAGACTTTTCTCGTTCATCTGTGCTGGATGTTCACCTTCTACGATTCACGAGAGTACGAGAAAAAATTCACTGTAACTATTGGTAATATCCCAAAAAGGTACAAAAGTTCATGAGCCACCGGTGGCTTATGTTGTCCTACTTAGCTCTCGCTTATGGGAAATCGGTGGCTCATGATGTCGACAGCAGCCGAAATGCTATTATGGTAAGTGGTGAGGGAAGGTAGTCGATAATGAGCACCAGAGTTTCATTCAAAGTTTTTCCGCTGCCTTTGTGGGTCTCCCATTGAATAGTGGACATAATAAAGTGAAGTATCGCTTTGTTATAGTAAAGTACACACGACTCGTGAGATGTGGTCTAAATAAAAGCAGTAGGAGCCATGGAGGATTATCATCAACCCGTGCACGGTCGCTTGTGCTTTCTCCACGCTATCAGCATCTTCTTCTTCTCCCTAGCGTTAGTCCCGCGCCGTCGCAGAGTCGGCAGCTGAGTCTTTGTTAGACGTCGCCACTTGTTCCGATCCACTGCATCTTCTGCTGTGGCTTTCACTTCAGTGAGGTCCCTCTTGATGACGTCCCTCCACCTTTTCTTCGGGGCTCCTCGTGCGTCGCTTGCCTTCTAGTCCTCGAGTTCCAGATGCCTTCCGTTATTGCGGGTGGTCTTCAGAGCCCGTCCTCAGTTACATGACCGTGACCAATCGCAGTCGCTGGCTTGCAGGGGCTCGTTGCGGCGGTGGCTTCAGCTGGATAGGAGCGTGTGACTGCTACTGACGTCCGCGTCGCGTTTCTTGGACTCTGTCTGCAGTCGTGTCCAGCCGCAGGCGCCATCTCGAGGCGAGTCCTCCGATTTCAGCTGAGGTGGAGGCTGCCTTTCATGCGGTTCTCTGCAGATAGGCCAGCAAACTCACTGCCGGAGAGGCATTGTGGATCAGGCATATACCGACAGCCCGGTACCAGGAAGGGTTGCCTTGCCGGCTTGAGTGTTCTCTGACATCGCCGGTCGGCACAGGCATGCCAGTGGAGCTCCACTCCATTGTCAATCAGGCTGCTTGATTCGGCGCCACGTCACCCGGCTGGTCCAGCGCTGCCGCGCTCAGCTGCTACGTGTGGTTGCTCCCAGGGTACTGAAATGCGTCGACCCGTTTCGAGTGCCTCTCCGCATGGCGATCTACGATGACTTCGGCGCACTCTTCGGAGCTTAGGAGCTTGGTCTTCTTTACGTTCAGCCGGAGTCCATTCGCAGCGAGCACATCCTGCCACCACCGGCTGCAGCTTTGCCTGAAGTTCCTGCGCCCTGCTCAGTTCCGATAGTCAGGGGCGGATGTCGTCAGCATTAGAGGAGTGGTTTTGCAGTGGCTCCCTCCGATGAGTTTTTTGCCCATGACATCCTAGACGTCCAGGAGGCAAGAGGAAACGGGCTGAGGGCTGACGCGCTTGGTGTACCGGCCCGATACCCGTAAGTGTTTACTCTTTGTCAAGCCGTGAGGGGTGCGTACAGCTGCTTTAGCCCCATCGTACATGTCCTTCACTATGGAGATGAGGTGTTCCGGAACGTTACGTTCTCTGAGATCGCTCTCGCCGAGTACAGATCCTGGCGAGGCGGTCGAACTGCCGTCTGCAAGGTACCCAGGAAGGCGTAGGTAGCAAGCGGTCCGCCGCTTCTCTCGGTACTGTCTCCGATCAGCTGTGCTTGGCGATTGGAGATGGCAGTCGGTGGTGGGACCTCGTCGGCGGATGAGGAGGGTCCGTCGAGGAGGATCTGTGTTCCTGCAGAGCGGGTGCGAGACTGCGGAGACAAGTTTCCCTTTAGCCCCTTGTGTTGACGTCAGCGCTCGGTACAGCTTCATGGTAGGGGAGATCAACTTGATGGCCCGCGTAGTTGGAGCCCCGTGCGTCCCCTTTCTGTTTGAAGATGGGGAACGATTGGAGCTGCTGCCTCCACGCATGTCGGCATGGCCTGTCACTTCAGCTGTTACAGTTGTTTTAGGGCGGAGCGGGCCGGGTTGGTCGTCTGGGGGGCGCGGTGTCGGAAGTGCCGGTGGGGTGCGCGAATTGGCGACCCTATGCTTCTTCCGAGGGGCGCTTCCATGCCTCGTATGGGTACCACTGTCCGGCCGTCTGGACCCACTGACTTTCGCCGCTTTCAATTCCCAGCTCCCGGCGGAACTTCATCCTTCGTCCAGGGAGTGATGGGACCTGCCGTCGCCTCTATCTGTGGGCTATCCTTGCGAGGGAATTCTTCGTTCAGAAGTCCCTCGAAGTATTCTTCCCACCTCTTCCTGACTTCGGCTGGTTTCCTGAGAATGGCCCCGTTGCTGCTCTTCACAGTCTTTACGACGACCCTGATGTCCTGAGCTGCGCGATGCCGAGCTTTAGCCAGGCGGAAGACGAACTTGTCCCCTTCTCGGCCTTCCAGCTTGTCGTACAGGGCGTCCATTTCCGTATTCTTGGCCTTAGCAACGGCCGCCTTAGCGAGTCGCTTGCAGCTCTTGTAGGCAGCGTAGTCTTCTGGGCTCCGTGTCTTTTGCCAGCATTTGTATGCTTCCTTCTTCTGCTTGACGATCCTCTGGACTTCCTCGTTCCAGAACCAGGCTGCCTTGTCTCCTCTGATACCACCTCGCGTCTCTCCCAGGACCTCCCTTGCACACTGTAGGATGACCTCTGCTGCGTAGGTCCAGGTGTCCTGGACTGGCCCATGTGGGTCTGGGAGCCCAGCCTCCAGTATTCTTCGGCCGAGGCTATCCTTTTCTACCCTGCCCATTTTCCACCACCGAATTCTTCGCTCTGCTCTCACCCTTGTCTTCTTGGGGAGGTCTATGGCGATGTCTGCCAGGAGAGGCCTGTGCTGAGGGCCCAGCTCTTCCCCAGGCAGTACCTTGATATCCTTGATGGTTTTGAGAGACGATCTTCTGACCAGGACATGGTCGATTTCCGTTTGTCTCCCTCCACTGCTGTAGGTTACCTTTTGGGTCCTCCTTTTCGCGAAGAAGGTGCTGCAGATTGCTAAGTCGTGGGCTGTTGCTAGGTCAAGGATTCGTCCTCCCTCAGCGTTCTTTGTCCCTATTCCTTGACCTCCGTGCACCCTTTCTAGACCCCTTCTGTCCCTCCCAACATGGCCATTCAGATCTCCAGCTATGGTGAGATAGTCCTCTTCCGGAACCGATCTTATGGCCTCGTCCAGGGTCAGGTAGAACTCATCCTTTTCGGCTTCAGAGCAACCGGATTGTGGTGCGTACACGGTCAGTACTGTCCAGTACCCCTCCTTCGTGTCCATTCTCACTCCCATGATCCGGTCACTGATCCTGTTCACAGTGGAGACGCAGTCCTTGAGGGATTCTGCCACCGCTATGGCAACGCCATTCCGTTTGGTGTCTGCTCCATTGTAGAAGAGTTTGACGCCTTCTCCAATCTCGCGGGCCTTCGCACCCTTCCATCGCGTTTCCTGCAGGCATAGGACTTGGATATTCCTGCGTCTCATGAGGTCGGCAACCTCACGAGACTTCCCGGTAAGCGACCCCACGTTCAGGGTCCCAATTCGAACTAGCTTCTTTGGCCGAGGTCGTTCACCCCTCGGTAGCCCTCGCATACTGACCACAGAACTCGGGCGAGGGTTCTGCGCGCCACTTCCGGGTGACGTCCTAGCTTTTACACTGATTCTATTGCGACTTGTCATGGTTGTTGTGACGGGTTCCTCCATCAGCCGGCCTGTCAACCTGGGCCTGACGCTGGTATCGTCCCCATTTTTGCAATTTTTGCAAGGCAGGTTTGTGCCTCGGCAGGGATCGAACTCGTGGCTCAGAGTGAGATTATGAGTCTACACTCTTAACCACTCGGCTATCCCTGCCGAAAGAGGAAAGAGAGGCAGTGACAGGGGAAAAGAAGGAAGGTGAGGAATGTAGGGAGGATGACGGGATTCGCCGTCACGAACTATCCTGAGACGGCACTGCTGCAAGCCCATTTTCCTCGCATATGGCAAAGGACGTCCTCGGATATGGTTGTACAGTTTGCCCTTAGGGAGCAATGTAAAAGGTGTTTGCAGTTCACAAACTGATACGACACATACCTTCTGGATCTCAATAACGTCGTCCCGCACTTGTGTCTACATTGCGAATGCTGAGAGTAGGTGAAAAAAAGAGCTGGCACCAAGTGAGTACTATGCGTGCCGCATCCCTACGGGGTTTGTCAAGTGGGGGGGGGAGGGGGAGGAGTGGGGGTTCATCCTTCGTGGCTTACGCCCGATAAACATTCAAGCGTCCTTACCCTATCGAGCGTATGGATACCAAGTTCCCGGAAAAACTGCTCAGAATAACAATACTCTCCTGTCTAGTTTCTCTGCTTGCGAACGAAGAAAGCGGCACGCTGTTGCAGCCGCGAACTCATTCCCTTTTTAAAACGTGAGCTTTTTCAAGTTGCGGGATTGTTGTCTGCACTATGATCACCGAGCGGGAAGTTGGGCAGATACGCGAAAGACGGAAAGAGGGTTCACTGTTCATAGTAACCTAGCTACATTGATTGCACAACGTTAACTATTACCTGCTACTCAGGACAAGTTGACTTCAATGAGATGGGAAACGGTTAGGTTCAAGCTATACCTACCACAAAAAAAGCAAAACGACAAAAAATGAACAGTTTTGGCACTACCAAAATGGGCACCATCCTATATAACATTGGCAAAGATTCTCATGAAGTGTTGCATGCTCAACAAGGCGATCAACTTGTTTCTGTACATCCACTTTGCCCGTATTGAAATCGCTACCTGAACAACAGCATGGATGTACTACTTAGATGACCAAGATTGACTTCTAAAAATACTAGTTACTACCGTCGGCAACAAATTAAGGAACTTACCGGTTAGTCTGTGCTTAATTCTGTTAGTGATAGTTCTCGAAAGATTCTTTGTGTAGCGTCTTCCTTCGGGTGACGTCATGCTTCTCACCAGGTACGGCTTTGTTCCTAAAGCACTTTGTTTTAATATATTGTATTATAAATTACCCAGTTTACCGCTCACTAACTGAAATTCGCCATCAAAAACTATTACCATACTCAGCTGATAAATAAGGACAATATAAGAAAACAAGCAATAAATCTACAAAGCCGGTAAATGAAAAGAATTACAGAGGATGGTAAAGAGATTAGGAGCATCAACACTCTAGCAGTCGCCGGCTTATCACTGGGTTGTAGACGAATGCTTCCAGAACAGCCACCAAACTTCTACGATTAGTTCGGAGCAACCGTGATACACGCTCAACGGTAGTTGCCTTCGATACGGTCACTTCCATAGCCTGAAATGAGCTCATCGGAACTGCCGTGTACAAAACTTTATCATGAGGGAAAACATTCGCTCGCCTTTCCAAGAAGCCCCTTGAAAAAAAAGAGAAACGCACCTTCTCCCCTTACCAGGAGAGGTCATTCACGACGTGGAGCGCTTTTTGAAACACGGCTTTTTGCATGATGTGGGGTCACTTGCATGGAGTACCAAACTGGATGTTCATTTTTCTGATCGCCTCTGGGAATACCAATAGTGAAAAAGAAGTCCATTGGAACCGAATTTTTGAGTCTCAGTGAGATTAAATCACTTGCAACTTTGATCAATTGCTGAGTGGAGGGTAATTATAAAGGTACTACAGGAATCCAGGAAGAAATAGTCGCAAATGGGGTCTTATTTGTGGCAAGTGATTAGAGAGTGAGCGCCTCTGAGCGGCTCGCCGGAATGGTTTCTTCAACGATCGGAGCGGTGTTCAGCTACAAAATCGGAAATCCTAGTGGATAGCGTGGAGGATTTTCAATCGGTCAGGGAAGGTGGGAGTTGATGGTTGAACTCCCCTCGGCTTTCGAGCTTTTTCATTTTTTATGTTCAGCTGTTCTCGCTTTCATATGAGACTGTTTATAAATTTTGGATATCTACCATTTATGGGCATAGTCTGACTTATACCCCATGTGTCGGTGTTATTCAGCAATTTCAGTTTTCACATGCTATTGAGCAAGAGTTTTTCTGGAAGTTGATCTTTATATGTCATTCAGTGGCCTGAGCACGACAATGGCATTTAGTTGCAGCTGTTTTATCGCCAATTTGGAGCCACGTCTTTCTATCACTGGACTCGCTATGTACACTCATGTGAGATACATTCAGGGCTATTTTGACGCCAGAATGCGTCGACGCCAGGATAAGTGTCAGAATCGTGATCACGACCAACGATTACCCCTATGGGCAAATATGAACCAAAATTTTTTTTACTTTCTCTGTTGTGATAGACCCACTTGGTTGGCAATAATGGCCGAAGTCACACCTTCGGAGCGGTGACGACGCACCGATGATGTGGTGGGCCGCCGGGCAGCCTCATCGCGGATTTGGTGCATAAGGTCCATTCATACTTGGCATGGGCATGGGTGGCCGCAGAACAAGTGAAAAACTGTCCTGGACATTTGTCGATGTTCATCGACTCAGCGCTCGCTCTACAAAGATGTCGTGTGCCAAGAAAAAGGGACTCGTTCGATCTCCTTCACTTATTTAAATACACCTGCGGAAATTACTACCTCCTTCTTCTTCTTTCCATGGCGTTTATTTTTATTTATTTTCAGTTTTTCTTTATTTTTAGTTTTAAGGTTCTGTACCACTGAATGGGAATGTTTCAGTACTCAGAAAGGTGCACGTTCTACAGAATGACTTTGGGGCATAACCCAATACACAAATCCAAAAGAGCAGAAAGTTTGCCTATAGGGATAAGCATTCGTCCTGATCACGATTCTTGCAACTGTTTTCAGCGTCCACGCATTCTGGCGTCAAAAAGGCCCTGAATGTTCCTCAAATGAGTGTACCCAGCGAGTCCAGTGATAGAAAGACGTGGCTCCAAATTGGCGATAAAACAGCTGAAACTAAATGCCATTGTCGTGATCATTCCACTGCATGACATATAAAGATCAACTTCCAGAAAAACTCTTGCTCAGTAATGAACTTTGTTAGTTCTCTCAAAATAGTCAATTTTCTCAGAAGGCTATTGTGATTTCACTATTAAGTGAACAATTTGCAGAAGGATTCTGACTGGTCAAACAATTAAGGATGCAGATAGATGGTGCGTCTTCGACGTTATTGAGATTCAGAAGGTATGTGTCGTATCAGTTTGTGAATGCAGATACTTTTACATTACTCCCAAAAGATAAACTGTACAACCATTCTCGAGGACGTCCTTTGCCATATGCGAGGAACATGGCTCGGCAGCTGTGCCGTCTCAGGGTAGTTCGTGATGGCGAATCCCGTCCTCCTCCCTACATTCCTCACCTTCCTTCTTTTCCTCCCGTCACTGCCTCTCTTTCCTCTTGCTTTTGCTCTCCCTTCGAAGGCATTCAAGAGAATGCACCATCAACGAGATGCTGGTTAACAGAAGACCAGTAACCGCAGCCGTGCAAGTGTAAACCTTTGTCACATGATCGTGCGGGGAAGTAACGCTGAAGGACCGTACACTTCTGCCGCCTTGGGGACTCCGCCTACCGTTCTCAATTGCGCTCAGAACAATGAGTAACACGCAGTCAAAGTCAGAGAACAACCAGACGTGAGAGTTCGCAGGCAAGTAGCGCGTTCGGCCATGACTGGGCGTGCGATGACGCAGGAGCAGTCCGGAAGGATACCCGAGTATCATTGAACTCTGGATCCGTTTTGTGCATCCTTGAGGAGGGTGGCTGAATCGTCAAAATATGTGACGTTGGCGGACGTGGCTAGCGACACCATACTGAAAAACAATTGCGAAGCCTCCCCACTTTTTAGTTTCAGTTTTTCGAGACACTAAAGTTCAGTCCCGCCCGTCTCGAAGTCTTGTCTGCGCTTGAATCTGTAGGAGCCCCCTGCTCTGCTGATTGACTTACACACACCAATCAGCTGCGTATCGCTCCTCCCCATGCGCCGCGATCGACGACATATTACAAGTCTTATCCGTCTACCCATGCCTACGACCTTGTAGAGAAGCATTTTGTCTTCTAGTGCATATTTCTATGATCTCTCCATTTTCAGGCCGACAATTCTAGACACTACATGAAAATTGGCAGTGATGCAAAGGCGAAGCCAATTCACGAAGAGGAGTTCGCCGCCTATGCTAACAAATGTGGCCAAATCTGAGAAATGTGCCTACTCCGTTCAGAGAATATGAGGCATGACTGCGATTAATCACTGTGTGCAGAGTAAATCATTTTTCGCACCAATCTTATGGCAATAATTTCACATATTCAAGTTCATTACATTTCAATCAGACGAGGCGGTTCCGTCAAATCGATTAGCAACCAATCACAGTTGAAGGGCAGAGCAGCCGAGCGGCTCGCCATCGCTCTGCCTTCGTCTGATTGCTATATTGCAAATCATGCACCATTACTTTACATGTAGAAAAGAGAGAACTGCTGGGGGTTGCCACATATATGAAGAGTGTGGTCTCCATGTGAAATACAGTTCAGTTCGACTGAGAATCAAACGTCTTGGGAACCCGTAATGGGACTCCAACGGACTACACTATCAACCCAACTTGCACTCGGGACGAGATTGAATACACCAACAGTCTACGAGAAACAAAGCAGGCTGAGCTCTGCTTAATTGACTTACATTCACACAGTGCGACATCACACTCTCAGCATCATCCCTACTGTCTTGTGTGTGCACGAAATTCTGAGGTTACAACAATGGCGATGGGAGGGGGGTACACAATACTTTCGTTGCTTCGTCAGGTGAAGTTTACAAGTTATAATCTGGTCGAACCTGCGATTCCCGTACAGCTGTCTAAGCTTGTCCACTGATCATGGTAAAACTCGTCAACTCTTGTGAGTTCTTAGTATAGCTCTTTTGATGGGTCGAGACTTCGCCGGGACGCGGTAAAAGTGCAAAATGCACCCTTGATTTTGCTAAGAATGATCTTGTGTTAGGATTGAAACGAAGAGTAAGTTTGGCCATCCGAAAATTCCTCAAGCACCGTGGGTCACATTGACTACGACATAACAGATATGAGCCGCTATTTTTTGGCTGTACATTACTTATTGTTGCCATCTACGACCTAGGAACACCGGTATACGCTGGTGCGACGCGGGCGATTGGAATAGTTTCGTCACATACTCACTTCCCCTCCGTCAGAGTTAACAAAAATTATCAGAGAGGCGAATCAAGATTACCACCACTCCCCCGTCCCGTCCGTCCCCGTGAACAGAAACTGCCATCACAGAACCGCGATCGTGGTCATTGAACAACGATAGGTCGGAAGCCTAAGTGAAGGCCTTGAAGACATTTGACGGTTTCGTGTGCAACAAAGCGAGCATGAGCCGACGAATCTCCATTGGTGCTGTTGCTAGCTTGAGATGATCTGAACAATGACATCGTAGAACACTGAAAGGATTATGGGCGCAGATAGTTGGGGGGGGGGTGTCACACTGCGGTAAGCTGCTACATGTCTCGATGAGAGAACATAAGTGATGTTCCTTCAACCGTTCGAGGCGGCGTGTATACTACGGGGAGTACACAACAAACTTCTCTTCGGCGAATCGTGCGCAGTCGTCATCCTGGCAGTTGATTAAAGCGGCAAGTCGCGAGGCGGCTGCGGCGTGTTATGAGAGCGGCGATCAGCTGTCTCCTGCTTATTCTAGAAATTTTTTCCCTAATTTACATTACTTGATTTACCTTAATTATTCGCGATCATTCTTAATAAGGATTACAGGAAACTGTGAAAAAAGCAGTTGTCGTCTTTGTCAGTTTGGTAGACGTAGATGCCGCCCTCCTGGCGAGAAAAAGGATGAAGACTCGTACAAGGACAACGAGCCAGAATAGTGCATGTGGTAGAGCTTCAAAATCAACACCACAGCAACTCTCCTTCCGTGAGTCACAGTTCCACACATGGGAACAAAAGAAGGCAAAATGCATGAAATCTTGTAAAATGTGCTGCGATGAGGCGGATCCCAAGTGAG